GGGGGGGCGGGTCAGAAACACCTGTCTTCACAGGTTCCCAGACTTCCGGGGAACATTCTTGGTCTTTTTTTATTTTTTACATGTAAGACTCCACTTATTCTCTCTGCTGTCCCCCAGGGCGCCTACTTGAAGATCCCCAGGATCAGCGGGGCCGGGCCTCCTGGCTGTAAGCCCCGCCCCCGGCAGGTGCACCGGGATGTCCAGACACCAGGCTGCGGGGCTCCCTGTCCTCGCCGAGGCCTGTGCTCATTTACCGAGTGGGGACAAGGCGTGCACTCTACAGAAGCGACACTCGCTGGGTCTGGAAGTGGAGGGTGGGCTGCGTGGGCGCACACGCGGGCGCGCTTCGGGACGCGGGAGGGCCGGCCGCGCGGGGCTGCAGGGTACGCGTATGTTTGGAGGAAGCAAGAAGAAAAACCCGGCCGCGTCTCATCGACTCCCGCGAAGTGGAAGACGCTCCGGTTCACCATCTACAAGAACCCTAGGCGCTGCGAACAGCTCCTTCTAAACTTTGGCTAAAAGAAAAATCAATTCACCACAAAAAGAAAGATAAACTGAGGCTGTAGCCAGATGCTGATCGTGTCCTTGGCAGTCTTTTGTGCAAAATTAGGCGTTTCTGAGCTCCACATTAACTAAAACAAACAGAAAAAGAAATGTATTGAAATAACTCCCCCACCTTGGAAGGCTCAACTCCCGCCGGGAGACACTGGGGGCGAGACCCCCGGCTGCGGGCGGGTGGGGGGCTCCCCCTACACTGTCACCAAGGAGCACCTGCCAGAGGGGAGACTCAGGCAGAGGCCACCGACCCTGAGTCTCACCCAGAACCTTGAATTTCCTTCCGATTTGTGGGGAAACAAAACTTGTAACTAAAAATGAAAATTTTGGGGCGCCTGGGTGACTCCGTCAGTTAAGCATCTGCCTTCGGCTCAGGTCGTGATCCCGGCGTCCTGGGGTCGAGCCCTGCACTGGGCTCCCTGCTCAGCGGGGAGCCTGCTTCTCCCTCTCCCCCACCCCCACGTGTGCTCTCTGTCAAATACATAGATAAAATCTTTAAAAAAAAAAGAAAATCTCTTCTGTTTACTTAAATTTGTCTTGCGGAGACGAAACACATTTATTCTGTTTTCTCCAATGGCTCTCCCGTTTATTAAAAGACAAAGGAGTGTCAAGCACGACCGCAGTCTTCGAAGTCATAAATCTCATTTAAAATCTCATATTTGTGTTAGGTGAAAATAAACTTTATTACAATGGTATCAATCACAGACTATCAAAATATCCGGAACATTTTACAGAGAAAAACCAGCCACACTTGTGAGGGAGAAGCGTGTTCCTTTCACAAGTCCTCGAGGGTTAGAACAGGCTGCCTGTGAAGATAAGCCACAGCAGCGGTGTGGGGAAGGCTGGGCGTTGGACTTCGCCGTATGCGTGTGTGTGAACGTGCACAAGTCCAAGTCCAAGATCTTCCAAGGGTCTCCAAGCACCTCTGAGACAACCTGACCACAGGCCCTGTTCCCTGGGCTGCTGCAGGTGGGTCGGGGGGGCCCTGCACCCTCCTGCGGGGTCTGTCCCCGCTTCCCGAGATGCACCGCCGCGGCCCCCGAGCCCAGGCCCCCCGGCTTACGTGGCGAGCAGCGTCTACTTGCTGTCCATGCTGTAGCAGTGAATGTCGCCTTTCCCCCGGGCGTCGAAGCCGGGAAGGGGCTGCCCATACTTGTCCACGCACCAGCAGAAGCCCCGCTTCCTGCCCTTGGAGGGGCGGCACTGCGGGAGAGCGCAGGACACAGGTGAACCCTGAGGGCGGGCCAGGCGCCCAGGGCCAAGGGCACAGCAGGCTCTCACGCCCGGGGCAGTTCTGCGCCCCTCGGGGATGAGAACGTCCCACCTGCCGGGGGGCACCTGAGAGCGCTCGCCGAGGCGCACAGATGGGCTCTCAGCGCGGCTTTGCTGAGCAAGGGACTGATGGGAATACGCAGGCGGCAGGTAAGCTGCTGCCTAATGGCTGGTGGCAAACAGCTGCGACAGAGATCAGGAGGCCCATGGCCCCGCTCATTCTGCAGCCACCATGGTGGGAACCATCCCAGTGCGGAGCCGCCTGCGATGCTGCGGTCGCGGAACAGTTCATCTCCGGAGATGCACTCAGCCTGGCCTCAATTAACGGCCCCCCATCGTGCCAGGACTCCCGGGAAGGATGGGCCGGAGGGGGACCAACAGGGGATCTCAGGGAGGCTTTCTGGCCCACGACCTCATGTCCCTGTGACGGTTATTCACAACGTCACCCCGTGTCCCTTCAGTTAACCCAGGGCCCCGGGGCAGCGGTGCCCGGCTCTGTGGACCAGCGGGGAGGTGTGGACGGCGGGAGCGGGGGAGGGAGGCTGGGGAGGATGCCACTCACCTGCTTCTTCTTGTAGAAGCCCTTCCTGTCACAGTTGGGGATGTGGATGCCCCTAGGGCTAAGCATGTCCAAGAACTTGAGTCGGTTCAGCGTGTCCTCCACCTCCCGGCGGCAGGGCCCCTGTGGGGCGAGCCACGGGTCACTCGGGAGCGCGCACGGCCTCAGAGAACCCCACGCACCCGTGGAGGGACCTGCCATGCGATCCCCACGACCCCCCAACCATGGCTCCCCTCTCCCGTGAGGTCCCCAGAGCGAGGCCCGGGACTGGGGGGGGAGGGAGCGGCCACAGGCCAGGGGACTCGGAGAGCAGGTGAACAGAACACCGCCAGCCCCGAGGCGCTCCCACCCACGTCATTCCACCTTGACCCCCGTGGGATCCCGCAGTGGGAAGGGTCCCTCCACACTCAGCCCACCGCCCACCGGGAGGAGAAGGCTCACGTATTCCGTCTCCCGCTTGGACTCGGAGGAGAAGTTCTGGGTGTCCGTGCTCTGGGACTCGTAGTCCACCTTGTAGCGCTGGCTGTCCTTGGCGTGCCCTTTCTTGATGACGTCCATCTTGGTGTGCAGGGGCTGGAGCTTGGCATCGGGCACCCGGTGTGTGCTGGGGAGGGCCTGGCCCTGCACACTCCCAGCACTGTGGTCTTCCTCCGACTCACTGCTGTTTCCTTGAAAAGCGCAAGGAGCATACAGGTGTGATGGCCATCCGCACTTAGCAACGGTCTTTTCAAAATACTACCACGGCGCCCAAGTCCCAGCTAGGTGGAAATGTCATCCAGCAACTCCAGAGCACCTGGATAAAGTTCTGTTCCACGGTACTAGCAGAGGACGGCTGTCACTCTACCGGAAGCCCGCTTTCTAGAAAGGAATCTGATGTGTGCTTTCTGAGCGGTGGTGGTGGTGGGGGGGGGCAGGGAAGGGTTCTCACCGCCGAGCCAGCAGCATCTGTCACCCTCCGCCGGCAGGGGGCACGCCCGAGCAGGGACAGTGCCCAGGATTCAGACCCCAAAGGCCACCCCAAGCGCAGCCTCCCAGGACTGGGCGACCGTATACCCTCTCTGCCCCACCCGCCGGCCCTGCTGAGTCAGAGGCGCCAGGTGGGGACAGCCACCTGGGTGGGGGTCCACAAGCCCCGCAGGGACTCTGACTCCCCCGCTGTCCTGTGCCACCAGGCCGACTGGCCCCAGGGAAAGCTCACTCCCCTTTGAGCCTGGCTGCAGGTCCCCTGGCTCTGGGCATTGGGTGGTGTGTGACGGGTCCCGCTGTCACATCTCAAACTCACTGTCCACACATGGGCTGGAACGCCCCGAGGAGGTGCACAGACCCTGTGCGTGCTGGAGCACTCACCCCCTCAGGGACCCCCCGCCACCCCCAGACACCGTTCTGTGACCACGCTAAAATGAAGAGAACCGAGGCCCTGACACTGGTGTTGGATGTCCGCAGCTGTCACTGGGGCTTCACGTGCACGGACTACATGCAGGGCTGATACGGAGCCAGGACGCTCTCGGAGTTCCTTTTCCAGGATGAACAGTGGGGGTGGCTACGGGGGAAGAGCTGCTGAGGACCCCCTGTGGGTCGCACGATCGCTCCATTCAACGAGCAGCCCGCCTCCGTCCTGGGAGGGGCTTGGCTCACCATCTGGTCCTGAATCTACCATGCCTGGGGGGTGCCGAGCGCCCTCCAGGGGCTCCGCCCCTCATGCACGGTGGCAGCCCACAGGGAAGCTGGCTCAGACCTCCGGCTCTAGGGGACAGGGGCAAATGTCTCGTGGAGGACGCTCCCCAGGCTGGCTGAAGGACAGAATCTCTGCAGGACGTGCCCAGGGCAGGTGCACTCACCAGGGGTTGGGGGACACCCTCTCCTCCCTGGGGACTCCACTTCCTCCCCTGGGAAGGGAGAGTCCCTGGAGGTGGAGGGGTGGCTGAGCTCCCAAGGAGTTTGGCGTCTGGGGAAGCACAGATCAGCCCAGCGCCAGATACAGTCGGTTCTTAATTGGCAGATTTTGGTTTCAATGTCCTTTAACCTTAGGGTTTTTTTCCTTCCTTTTCAGGGAAGTGCTGGGGACAAAGGAGATGCTAAGGGTATGTAAATAAACATATTTGCATTTCTTTTCCAAGAACTGAGTAATTTCTTCAACCTCCCAGGTTATCTTTCTAATGCCTGCGGACTTCAGCAGGAACACCAAACCTCTGCATTTAAGCAACAGATAATCTTAACTTTTGACTGCCATTTAAATGTACCTCCCCACCCCCACGGGTTTTAGAAGTCTCATAAAATCCTAGGCCTGTTAACCGCGTTTTAGTTAAGCACATCAACCCATGCTGCGGAGCTACTATGATAGTAATCATAACGTACCCAGTACCGGGTCACTGAAATCGGCAGCGTCTGTAAGAGCTTCTCAGGTCACTTTTCGAATACCCAGAAAACACGCTAGAAGAATAAAGGGCACACGGCAAACGCCGTAGTTGCCCTGAGAGACAAATGCACCTAGCGATTTTAAATCCACTATGATACAGCGGCACACGTTTTAGGCAACTGGAATTTTGCCTTCTCACCAATCCTGGAATGGTGTTTGTTTCTCTGGGATCCACAGAGCCAGCCCTGCCTAGCAAAGACAGAGCCTCACCCGGGAGTGGAAATGTGCAGAACCCGAAATTACAAGGGGACTGCCCTCCTGCCAGTCCAGGGTGGGAGCCTGCCCACTAGCTCTGTCCAGCCTGGTGCCTTGGAGGCGAGCGCAGAATTCTCGCGGCCTCCAGCTCTGCAGGAGCTTCACTCACAGAACCCAGGGAGGCTGGCTGAGCCTGCTGGAGAATTTAGAGCAACAACTGCAGACTCCATTTACACTGCTTTCTCGGAACAGCGTGATGTCCTTCACCGAGCCTGGCGACGGGCAGTGGGCGAGCCTCTGTCCTCTCGGGGCTCCCAGGAACCGGACCCCATCCCTTCCACTTCGGATTAAGGGCCAAACAGTCCTGAGGCTTATTCCACTCCCCTTCACCATCACTGAAATCTTTTGAGTCCACAGTCCCTGAAGCCCCCGCACCTGGCGTTGGTCTGGGGCCATCCAGGCACCGGGGCGGATGGGGCGCACCAGGGGGACGAGGCAGGACGTGGCAAACCGGGTTCAGCCCCCACGTTCCTCCCTGCCTCTGGGGGACTTTGGGGAGGCACTACGTCCTGGACGTCAGGTTGCCCAAACGCAAGAGATGCCAATACCCGGTTCCCCCCTTACTGCTTCTGGCGCACGCCCAGACGTGCCATAAGTCTGCGCAAATGTTGGCATTTTTAAAGACAAGCACCATCTCCTACAAAGGTGCCCGCCCACCTTCTCCAGTCCAAATTCGCCCCGCCCGCCTCCCTGGTCCTCCAGCTCCCTCCGCATCCTTGGCATAAACACGCTCGCTCCCAGTTTGTGGGACACGGAAGCCGCGTTCCCGAGGTGGGCCGCGCGGTCCACGCCCACGTTGCCGCGCTGCGCCCGCACCGAGCGCGGGGAGATGCTCGTCGGTATGGGATCGGTCATGACAAACCTCGCCTCCTCCCCCTCCCTGCCCGGGAAACCTCTGACCCAGTCCTGCCGAAAGCGCTTAGTAATTTGCAAGCACTCCGCGCGCGGTGAACGCAGCGCGTGCACGGCCGGCTGCAGACCGCGCCACGGGCGGGCGGGCGCGCTCGCTCGC